GGCGCGGGATCGGGCAGTGTTTCGTTCTGCTGTGCATGGGGTCGCTATGAGTCGGAAACGACTCGACGGCACTTAACAACAACAACAACAATCTTTATGGAAGTAGTTGGCAGGCCTTTCTTTTGTGAATCGTCTGGGTGGATTCCAACTGCCGACCTTTGTTAGCAGCCCAACGCAAGAAAAAAATCACAAGGCTATTTTGAGTATATAGAGGATTACCTATAAAATGGCCTAGTAGTGCCAGGATGCTGTAGGGGCTTTGTTTGTGGAGCTCCCAGCCCAGAGCTGCTTACCTTGTCCTTCAGGATATATAGAGCCATGGGGTTTTTCCGCTCCTGCTCTCCACTTCGAGGTAGAGTGTCTGCTGCACAGGGAAAAAGAATGGGGTGGCTGGCCCAAGTACAGAACCCTCCCCACCAGTCAGCACCTATGCTCTTTCCTTCCCAAGTGGCCACAGTCACAGCCCCACCACAACCTCCACCTGAGGATCGGATCCCAAATACCCAGGCTCCTACCTTGACTGCACCTCTCCCTGTTCTGCAGTCTTCGTGCACTTGGTGGAGGAAGGGGCCCTGCAGGGCTGGCTTCCTTGTCGCCCAGTTCTGCCTTTTCCCAGCATCCCACTGATCTGAGTGCAGATGGGATGGGTGAGTGGGTGGGTGGGAGCTCACCTTCTGGTTTCAGGTGGTCATCATTCTGATCCATGTATTCCAGGGAGTTTTGCTTCTCCAGCTTCCTCTTCTTCCTGCAAATTAATACAGCCTCCAATTCAGTGCGAACAAGGTCTGGGCTAGGGGTAGGGACACAGGAAGGGAGTTGATGGTCATAAAAGAGGCCTTGTGACAGGAAGATAGGCTGGATGGGGTGAGAATGGGGGGTAGTTTGTCAGCTTTGAAATGAGGTTTGCATCCTGAGTCTGTCACTTACTAGGACTGTGACTGTTGTTGTTGTTGTTATGTGCTGTGGAGTCAGACCCAACTCATAGCGACCCCTCCTTGGGTTTCCGAGGCAGTGTCACTATGGAAATAGATTGCCCAACCTTCCTTCCGAGGAGTTTGAACCTTCAGCCTTCTGGTTAGCAGTCAAGTACCTTAGGCAGTACGCTACCAGAGGCTGTAGGAAAGTCAATCTGAGTTTCAGGGTCATTATCAATTACAGGTAATCTCTTATCTTTCCTCCAAGGCTCTGAGGACTAAAAGATAGCACCACAACCACAGTGCCTGGCTCAAAGAAAGGAGTCAGTAAGTGAGCCCATTTTTTTTACCATGCTCTGGTTGTTAAGGGTCATGAACACAGGACATGGTTCCATACAAAATTGTAAGATGGATCCCCTGAGAAATGATTTAGGACTCTGGGAAGAAAGGCATTTAAAGGCACTAAGAAAAGACTAGAGCTTGGGATTGTAATGGACGGAAGGCTTAGGGTGTTCAGGGTGTTGAACTTGCAGAATTACCCAGACTTCTTGGAGGGTTTCCAGCAAGCACAGACTGTCACCAAGGTCACGAGGAGGAAGATGCCTCCTGTAGACAAGATGATGTAGAGGGAACTTCTCCCTGGGGAGAGAGAGAAACAGAGAGGGAGAAGGTGGGTAAGAAGTGTGGCAAGGAAGTATCCTAGAGTCAAGAAAGAGAAAAGGAGCCCTAAATCAGAGCTTGTACAGGGCTGCATCCTCCCTCTTGTTGACCTCCTTGGATAGTTGGTCCACCTCTGCCTCTCACTCCCTCCAGAGGCTCTCTGTCTAGGATGTCTTTTGTCCTTCATGGGCACATGCCTGTGGTGACGTTAAGTCCCAAGGGAGGGCAGGCAGGAAGACTCACTGTATACGGTGATCTTGACAGGCAGACTGCGCCCCTGGCTGATGGGATTCTCCACCACACAGCTGTATAGATCGTCATCCTCCATAAGAACGCGTGTGATGGTGAGCACCTTTTGGTCAGGGGACAGGAGCATGCGGGAGTCATTGAGGAGGGGCTTGCCATCCTTCAGCCAGGTGTAGCTGGGCTTGGTGCCATTCTCGTGTGAGCAGTTCAGGGTGAAGGCCTCACTGAGCTCCAGCACAGTGGTCGAAGCCACTACCACCTGCGGCCTTGAAATGGGCACTGGGCCCCAGAGGTAGGGAGCCTGTGAGTCATGGGTTAGAAAGCTTCTCCTGTCTCTTTCTTGACTTCCTACCTTCTTACACACCACAACTTTTGTGGGGTGAGAAGACCCTTTCACAACCACCAACTCAATCCTTTCCCATCATTTATTTACTCCCCAGCTATTTATTGAGTATCAGCTAGGCGCAGAGTATACAGTGCTGAATAAGACAGCCACAGTCCCTGCCCTCACAGGCCTTACATTTCTTTCTTCCAAAATACCTTTTCAAGACTTCTGCACTTTAATGTCTGAAACTTGCCCAGCTTGAAATAATTTATTTGGGCTAAGCCCAACTGGGTACAAATTTTGGCTTTATCATTACTAGCTGTGTGACCTTGGGTAAGTTGTTCAACCTCTCTGTGCTTCATTTTCCTCATGTTCAAAATTAGGGGTAATGATATTATCTATCCCTAGATTATTATTAAGGAGCCCTGGGGCCCAACAGTTAAGTGCTTGGCTGCTAACTGAAAGAGAACAGTTGGCAGTTCAAAACCACCCAGTGACTCTGAGGGAGAAAGACCTGATAATCTGCTTCAGTAAAGGTTACAGCCAAAAACAAAACAAAACTCTATGGAGCACTTTAACTCTGTTACATGGAGTCTTTATAAGTCAAAATCAACTCAATGGTACCTAACAACAGATTATTATTATTGTTGTTATGTGCCATTGAATTGGACCTGACTCATAGCGACCCCTTCTTGGGTTTCCGAGGCAGTATCTCTACGGAAGTAGACTATACAACCTTCCTTCTGAGGAGTGGCTGGGGGGTTTGAACCACCAGCCTTCTGGTTAGCAGTCAAGTGCCTTAGGCACTACACTACCAGAGCTTATAAACATTAAATGGATTGATATATACAAAGCACTTAGAATGGTTTCTGGCACCTAGTAAACACTCTATATGTATTAGCTGTGCTGGCTTGCCAACTTCTAACTTCTAGGTGGCTCACTCTCAGTTCCCAAGTAGCTCTTGGATTGGTTTTCCCTGGGTCTAGTGTGCTGGTCCAATAGGAGCCCTGGAAGCACCATGGTTAAAACATTTAGCTGCTAACTAAAAGGTCAGCAGTTTGAATCCATCCACCAGCTGCTCCGTGGAAAAAAGATGTGGCAGTTTGCTTAAAGATTTACAGCTTTGGAAACTCTATGGGGGCAGTTCTACTCTGTTCAGCAGGGTTGCTATAAGTTGGAATTGACTGGATGGCAATTATTTATGTTTTTATTTAGTGTACTGGCCTACAGATGCCACCCTAGTCCCTGTCATGGTCCCAGACTTTATCCCTGCCAGAGCATTTTACCATCTACAGTGAGGTTGATGGTCTTTTCCCCAGTGAAGGTGTCATCAGTGATGGAGATTTCGACCTCATAGGTGCCCTCATCAGCCAGCTGCAGGTCACTGAGAAGCAGGGAACCATTTTCGAAGAGCCGGATGCGGTCTCGATAGTCAGGTCTCAGGGTGCCAATGACCTCCGTGCCTATGGACTGTACCACAGTCACTGGCTTGTCCCGCTTCAGCTGCCACTTCACCACAGGCCTGTCAGTGCTGGTGCTGCTGTACTGCACGGAGAGCAGGGCCGCCTTCCCCACGGTGCCATGGATCAAGCGCACCGGGCTGGTGATGTTCACTCCTTCCAGGGGGTCTGCGAACAGAGGCCCATGGGAAAGAGGGCAGTGTCAGACCCTGGCTCCTTCCCTCACTCCCACCTGTAAGCCCTCTGACCTCTCAATGCCTCATCCTTCTGAACCCTTCACTCTCTTCATTCCTGAGAAGTCCTTGCTTTTTACCCGTAGGTGCCATCTTCTCTCCCTCTATACTCTGTGTTCCTCTGTCATCCCTCATTCCCATCCCATGTCTTCAATCCTCATTCCATCTAGTCCTCTGCATCTCTGGCACTTTCTGCTATTGCCTTCCCTTAGCAAAAGATTCCAGCTAACCCATACCATAAGTGCTACACTACATTCATAGAAATGGTTATTGAGCACTTACTAGTTGCCAAGGACAGCTCTATGACTTTCAAATATATCAATGAGAAAAATAGTCAAAAATCTCTATCCTCTATGGGCAAATTTGTTATTCTTTTTTTTTTTTTT